CCTATTAGCAATGGATGATAAACAAACAGCAGTGTCCCACCCAAGACGATTCAAAAAGTAAAGAAGCCACGTGTGGAGGGAAAGAACTGAAGATGGCAAATGCCCCAACATGGATGGAAGAGGTAGGAGGTATCCCACCAAAATCCCTAAATATAGGTGTAACACCTAAGAAAGGAAGTGAACAACAAACATTTCCTGTAGGAGAATAGAGAGGGTAAAACGAAGCTGAAAAACTAAGTAGGGGAGAAAATGGAGAGGATTAACAGAGATCTAAAGGACATAAAAATCAAAAAGAAAAATCTGTCTGATGGTAAGCTTAGGCAAAAAGAAGTAAAGCCTGTAAAGGATGAGGCTTACAAGTTCCCACTCTCAAAAGGGGAACAAAAAGAACATCAGGAAACGGTGTCAGAAGAAGGGGAATATACTGTGAAATGTGTTTAAAACAAAAAAAAAGAACCAAGATTGGCCTAGCAGAATCTGCAGTAGAGACCTGGAATGCAATCCATGATAAGATGAAGGAAAACTGACAAAATCTGGGCCATCTGAAATAGGTTCAGCCATTGTAGAAGGAAAGTGAGCAATATTGGGAGCAGGTAGGGTGGACCCCAGCCTACAGGGACACAAACAAACAAATTTAAGGGTTAGAAGTATAAATAATAAATTTTCACACTTATTTTCTGCAGTTATTTTATTGCTAGTAGATGAGTTAGAAATTAGAAAAAAACAAAATGAATAGTACTTTGTTCTTTTCAGTATGGACAGTAAAGTTCCAAGTAAATCTCCTGAGAGTTTCTTCTAATCTTTTTACATCTATTTCCTATTGTTATTCTACTGTTAGCTACTGAAGTAGAAACCTGCTGAATATAAAGCAATGAATCACTGTTCTCATTTAGGTGTTACCGTACTTTGACACCGTCAATATTAAATAACTTCATGCAGCACAACTCCCAGAATTTTCTCTGCTTTGAAAACACAGTGGGATAGGATATATCAACTTGTTGATAATATTACAACAATTGTTTAAAGTATTATAAAATGTTTATGACTTTGTAGAAAGTCTGGGCCTATCCAATAAGACAAAAAGCAGAAGTATCCTACCGAACTATTAATCGCTGCTCTGAGAACACAGTGGGATAGAATTTGCTGACTTCTTTACAATACAGTGGTTGCAACAAGAATTGTCTAAAGTACTTTATAAAAGTGAGAGAAAATATTTATGATATGACTCTGTACAAAGTATAAAGTTGTATCCTAACCAATAAACTTGCTAGTTATCTTACTTGGTGGTAGGAATTTAGCATTGGCATAAGTGTAAATGTGTGTAAATGCTTACATACATCCTGTTTCCTATATTACCATGCTTACACGGTAACCAATAAATGTGTAGTTTCTAGTAATATAAATACAGCTCCTTTTGGTTGAGCTAGTACTCTTGGCTTAGCCTTCTTGATTGTAAGTAAATTATTCACCAGCAAACTGCAAACTCAACTGGGTGTTTATGTAAAGATGTTCCTCTTCATGTGTTAAGATTAGTTGGTCAGTGATAAATTTATTTCTTAGACTTTCACAAATTACACAAATAAACTTTTCCTGAATTGCCAAGTCTTTAGTTTTGTATAATGTGTTTTTATTCTACCTTTCATATTGGCTACCATACATTACACACACACACACACACACATACATATATACACACACATATAACGTTTTCCAATAAATACTTGAATGTCAGTTATTTTTCTTAAAACATAAAACAGTAAATAAAAAATATTTAGGAAAACAATGATCTCTACTACTTATGATGCTACGAAGTCCTTGTTTGCACTTGTAAGCAGTACTTGCTAAGCATCATTCAAATTCACAAGTGGAGATGTAAAAATAATAATTTTTGTAGACTTTATATAAGCATTTTGGAATACAAAAAATTATAAATTACTATACCAATAACCCTAAAAATCCACTGTAATTTATCAGGCTTGCTAACTAAACTATATTTGGGTCTAAAAAAATATAATTTTTATTCACAAAGTAGCCTTGATAGCAATACTTCAAACCTTCCAATGATATAAGAGCATTTCTCTGATAAATAACTTTGGAAGACTGACAGAATTATGTAGAATAAATATATAGCTTTCGATCGATTATAAAGCTATTGGTATATAAAAGTAGGTGTAGATAAACAAGTCTTCTCAAATGAGGAAGTGGTGGGTGGAGCAAATATGGTAGGTTTGCTAAATATCATGATATCTCAGCAAATAGAAAAGGTAGGAGGTTCTTATTTTATATTCGAGCTTGCCAATATCGAACACTTGAGTTTCTAATTTGTACAAAACTATAGACATTGTATTGTAGGCATCACAAAATGTAATCTGACCAAACCCAGAAGGTCACATACCATGTGACACACAAAAATCTATATTTAGCCTTTTTTTATATTTAGTTTCAAATTAAGATACTATCTAATGTATAATATTAAAATTTTAATTATAATCTACAACTTGATACCAAACTTATTGATGTACATTTATAAAATAATAGCTAAATAAAATATTGAATGTAAATCTACAAACGTGATGACATGCCCTCTGACCCTACCCATCTGAATAGGGTTAATTAGCAATTAACCCGTAAGTAGAACTACAGGTAAACCGAATATAACAGATGCATATTAAGCCTAATCAAACAGTGCAGGACAAAGAATATCACTAAGCTCTAAAATAAAAATCTTAACCTATAAGTATGTACAATATTGGAAAAATAAGTTAGTGTGGACCCTGGTTTTAGGGTTCCACACAAACCAAGTTAAAATGAAGTATAAAAGATAAATAATAACGAAAATGAAATAACTGTGTATTAACAATAATCTATGTATGAGATGAGATGTGATGTATGGAAGAAACACAATATAATTAAATGAATGATTGATATATCAGTAAAATGAATTACAGATAATGCTAAAATAACAAAGACCCCTAGTATCAGTAGTATTGAAAAAAAGATACAACTAAGCCTAATTTCTAACCTGAACTGGACTACGAGTATCAATCAATCTAATGAAACTAAAATAACTAGATAATAATATCGAAAAATAAAATTATTCAAAAAACCATAATAGTATAAGTCTTATCTTTCCAATGTTGGTGGACTGTATGTCAAAATATGTGGGGCCTCAAACTCAAAGCGAGATCAACTCATTGGATGATCAATCCTCGACAATGTAAAGCCAAAAATCTTCCCGCAGAGTACTGCTACCTGAAGCCTGTGTAAATGTGGTGATAGAACACACAACCTCCAAAGTGGTAATGTAGAATTTATAATGTAAAATTAATAACCAAACACAACTGTGTTGGCAGAAATAAATAAAATGCTTTTGTAATGAAGCAATAAGTTTTGTAACCAGGTAGAAATATAAAATAATTGCAATTTGGAATAACTCAACAAGTTACAAATATCACTATAGTATAATAAAGAGTGTATTTGTTGAGAGACATTAATACACGGGTATAGAAAAAAATTAAAATAAAACACTTGAATAGAGCTCAAACTAAATGTCACAACATGAATACTGTCAAACAAGAAGTGATAGTTCAGTAGAATTGAATAGAGGGAGTCACATGCATCAAGAGAGTATGTCACATGATGATTTGAAAGTGAGATGCACTGGAATCAGTCAACTGCAGATGAGTGGGAGCTTGAAGGTTGTGGCATGAGCAAAACGTTTTTATATATAAAGGGCACCACTGAACGAAAAAAGCTATTCATGTGAAACGAGGTAATGTACCATATCAGAATGACTTTCGCTACACAGTGGATTTCACTGCCACAGTTGGAACTCAATGCAAGTGATAAAATTAAAAGTACCAGTAAAAGCTCTGTTTAACATAGTTCACTGTTGAGAAGGATATGTCACTGCTAGTATGTGTAAAATCTATAACATTTACAATGAGTTAAAACTAACCAGAAATATCAATATAAAAGGTGTAAGGAAAAACATTACCTCATATGTGTAGAATTTCGTTGAGTCTGCCAGATCCATTTCCTCTGGTTTTCGTGGCTCATCAATAGTAGCTAAGGCCAGGCAGCGAAGAGTGTCTCTCCCAGTACCATAGTGGCGAGTGCGTTCCAAGATTTTATTTTTGATGGTATTGGTCATAGGAACCTTGTTATTTCCAATTCTCACAAAGCTACATCTATCAAGCACTCCTTCTGGTGCACCCTATAAAAGTGAATAAGTCATTTCCAACTATACATCATCCACAAATGAACGATGTAAATAACAGCCAACTTTGACAGTTATATAATGAGACTGTATTTACTTTTCAGTACTTGTAATAAAATAACCTACTACTCCCAACTCAAACACTGGTCTCAGAAAACTGGTCTGCTAACCTTAGAGTTGGCTCCTCAAATGTTACAGCAAAAAACACCAGATTGCTTTGAAGTTACTAGCATTACACATATATGCATATATATTTCCAGCTGTCACTTTATACATTAGATTGCTTTGAAGTTACTAACACTACATATATGTGCATATGTATTTCCAGCTTTCATTTTTTACATTTTACCTTATTGAAAGTAAAACAGACAGAATGATATAAATGTAAAATATGTTACAAGAAACAAAACAACCATTTAGCTTTTTTTTTCCTGATAATTCTATTAAAGAAACTTTGTTTACAATCTTAACTTACAATTTTAAATAATATACAATGTGACTAATACCTTAAAAACTTATTTTGGATTTAAAGGTACAGACTGTTAAAAATAAGAAAGAAAGTGGTCCTTACGTAGACTCAAGTAATCTTGTACTTGCAAACAGTATCATGTTTTTGTTTCTCCCATAATAAGTACTCTAAATGCTTAATTTGTATTTGAAGATAAAAGTAACTTTTCTGGGCATATTTTTTGTCCAATTAATATCTTTGAAACACAGCAATCACAGCTTGAAAAAGGAATAATTTCTGTAGGTAAAATTATCTGCATTTTTTAGTAACACTTAATATGACCAATACACATAAAATGGCTCTACATTTAATAAAGCAGAATGAAGCCTATGGTTTTTAATCACATACTTATACACGAAAAAATGTAATAACTAAAAGGCACAACTAAAACATTTTTTATCTTTATTTTGTGCTAAAATCTTAACATTTAACTGTATATTAAAAACAGACATTTACCTACTAGTGTATCAATATGGATAAAGCAGTGTTCTGAATTCATCATAACTAACTTGATACATAAAATTTATTCTACTTTTCATCTTAATTCAGTGTTTTCAAAACATTTTAGTATCTATATTTAAAAAAAAAAAGTTCTGCCTCCTCTACCATAATTATTGTAGTAGTTTTTCCTGCAAGAGCATTAAAAAAAACAGAATGGATTTAAAACAAACATGGCAAAAGAACGAGTCATTATTTTTTCTCTACCTTGCAGAACATCTTTGAGCCTGCTCCAAGGCGAACAGATTTGATTGGGATGCAATATGAGCTCATGGACTTGCGATCACGGGAAAACTCAAGAGTAAATTCTTTCTTCCACATAGCTTGGATACCATGGTTTACAACTAGAGCAGCATCTCTCTTAGTTCGGCCTGTCTTTTCAAAGTTGAAGGGGTTCATTTTTTCAGAAAGAACAACAAGTGCTGTCTCTGTAGCTTCACCCACCTTTTCAAACATCTGCTTGTACTATAAGTGGGAAATGGAAAAGATGACAAAAAAAAGAATTATGAAAAATTAGAAAATTAAGAGTTATCAAGCTGGAAGATGAATCTGTCAAAGGAGTAAGAGCTTTTTACTCTACTGACATACTGAAATGTTATATTTTTTTTATCAACAAATACTTCCACTATCGTGAAACTAAAGGAAAAAAGTGTTTAAAAATTGTAAGTAAGATTAACATAACATTTAATTTTGCATAGCTGTTTAGAGCCACATCAGTTTTTCATCTACTTCTTGCAACACAAAATATCATGAAAAAGAAATTTATCATTTGGATTTTGTAAAATTGTGTTTTAAAACGTAATTCATTTATATAATCTCACAAAATCACATAAGCTCATATTATAAACTACTACCATATATATATGTGTGTGTGTGTGTGTGTGTGTGTGTGTGTGTGTGTGTGTGTGTACAAGATACAAGTAAGACAAAATCTTTATGTTCTTACCTCATTAAAGTCTATACTGGAGTCATTGCACATTGTGCAAATGGTAGCTAGTTCATACAAAGCTTCATAATCACTGCAACGAACTTTACTCCCATCTTTAAAACTGTGGAGAGGGAAACATTTCTTAATATTTGGTAGTTCATCCAAATTAATATGAACTTTACTAGCACAGTTTATTACAGCAGTAACTAAGTTTTGTGAACTATCAGTTGAGCTAGTCAGTCACACAAAGACACACAATAAACAATTTTGCATATGATACAAATATACAGACACTGTCACAGACTTACAACTTTGATGTTGCTTATAGTGAACTGCTTTTGGAGTCTCAATACATTGATACAATCCATGATGCCATAACTGGTCATACTCATTCTGACAGTAATGCATCTTTACAATAGCCCTGCAGTATAGTTAATCACAAGACTGTAATGTCAAGTCAAAAGCACACTACTACTCTCAGCTTGCTTTCCACAATCCAGTTATTGTACAAAAACAATTGTTTCTCACCACCTGTTTCAACAGCTTGACCCCACAGAAATCCATGGGTGTTACATCTGACCAGCATGTCTTCATATGAAATAGTTTGTGTACCAATATCATTCTCCAGTTGAAATGGTTGAATGTATATGCTGTGGAAGCAGCTTGTTTATATATGACTTGTGTCACTTTTCCAGATGGAGATACTTCTTGATTGTGTTGCATACTGTTGCCTGGGATATGTGGACAACTTTTGCCACTGACATTTGTTTTCATAGATTCTCACCTATTACAAAATACCACACTTTGCTTATCAAAGCTGGGGTATTACTTATTGTAGGTCTCTCTCTGGATGGTCCTTGTTCTGATAGTTGATCCATATTCCTTTGTTTTCCAATACCATTAAGTAAAACAGATATCCCTATCTTAGAAATTCTAAAACTCCAAGTTGAACATATCTTATGAACTGAGTATATGATTATATTGCATAGGAAAAGCTATTACATAGTCTTCCCTAAAGAGATAAATTTTCTGTGCCATCACACTCCCTACAAAATAATAAACAATTCAAAATGTAGTTCTGAAACAGATAGTTTCCAAAGTGACTTTATATCAGCTATGGTTATCATGTGAAATGCTGATTCTTACATTCAAAATCATTTTAATATAACATACTCAACCCTTTGTATAATGGTGTATAATATTATGTTTCCTAATGAGCAAATTCTAGTAACAGGACAATCTCTAACAAATAGGAATTGTAACTGAGATCCTAATTAACCCAAGAGCTTTGAGATCAAGAATCAAGCACGAAAATTACTTAATTTAACTGCAGCAATGGTTAATTAATAGCAATAGTGCCGACAATCATGGTCTTATCATGTATTAACTTCAGTTGTCTTCCAGTCTCATTCAACTCATTGTAACAGCTCTTGTGACATAGTTAGAAAGCCAGAAAACATTGTGATAGTTATAGTAAATTGTCTGCTTTTTGCATGTTATTATTCTATGTTCTTTGTCGCATTATTTAATTAAGCATAAATATTTAATGCACTACTAGCATTAATATGAAGAAAGTTCTTTATTTCTTGTTTTCATTTATATTCTTTATTTATTATTATAATAGTGACTAAAATGTAAAAATAGTGATCTCTTTGGATTAATTAAGGTTAGATTAAGTAAAATAAATAATAAAATAATAAAAATGTCTCACAAAGCATGCACGTGAGCAGCTGATGGGTAAGCTAATTTGATAGCGTAATGTAAGCTGCATGTTTCCCAAGTGATTTACAACTTATAATGGCACGAATAGTAGTTAGACATGGTTCAAAGGACAATAAAACAATAAAATTTAATTATATGTATACTGTTACGAGTTTAAAGTTACTTAGGATAAATGACTGCAGTTTTATGTTACATTTGAAATCATTCTAGAAAGAAAAAGAGGGTAATGTAGATTTATTTAGATTTTTTTTTTTTGGTGGTTACAAGGTCAGTCAAATTGACCAACCTTGTATAGAGTTAGAGATGAGAAAATATCAGATAAAGTATAAAATTTTGCTGAAAAATTATGTTTTATAATTGTTTTGGAAGTTTTACAGATAACACAAATGAAATTTGTGATTTTTGACATGAAGAAAATTATATTTAATTTTAACATGATAATCACTTTGCACACAGACTATTCAAAACAAATACTCTATATATTCACGGACAAATCTTTTTTGAGTTTATTAAAAATACTTCACTAAAAAATATGATTTTTGGTATGTGAAAAACTTATAATGTTTACTGAAAGACTGCCAAATTTTGTGAAGATATACACACTATATTAAAAGTTAGTAGTATCAAATCTATAAAGACTTTGAACAAGTACAGAGGTCACGTAGTCAGTCAAATTGACCGAGCACTTATTGAGAGAGTTAAATGTTAAAAAGTTGCCTTTGCTATCAATTATCTAGTATGCTAATACCTTAGACAGATAAAGAGTATTTACAATCTATAACTTACACTTCTCCAATAGGTTCATAGGTGGATCCCGTTGCTTCAAATTCATGTAAGTTAACATCTTCATCTTCTGCACTTTTAATGACAAAGAACTGTTGAGAAATAGAGAGAGAGATAAAAATTTAGATACTGTGTTGTCTCTAATTATCGCTACACCCAGTATTTTTTATCAAGTTTATCTTGTGTGATAGCAATAATCCAACATATAATTTTGATTTGAGAAAAAAGAATAAACATTCACACACACACACTTATTAGAAATGGAATTCAGAACTGCACAAATACTATAATTAACACCTCTTTTGCAGGGGCAATACAATAACATAACAATAGATTAGTTGTGTAAAATACATTTTTCTAATGGTTAGAGAAAAATGTTAATCCTATAACAAAAACATTACTTTTAAAACCCTTTCTGTGCATTTTACTGAGTCATATTTAAAATTTAATTAAACCACTTTATTATCAATGTACTTTATATTATCTCAGTTTTTATTCCTTTATTTCAAAAGAAACCTCTAAAACCAATACCTGAACTTTACAGCTAATAAAAGAGAAACAATTGCGTGTAATGTCAACATGTTCTTGTAGATGTTCAAAGTACATATATATAGCTTGTTTATGAGTAACTCGAGTAAAATTCCAAGAACTTGTGGCCGAGGAAAACATCGTAAAATTCTTTCAGTTCAAGGTAAGCCACGCCCACTTCCAAATTAGAAGCTGTGTTGCTAAGCAGCAGTTTTAGGTTGAATGGCATAGCTTATAACCAATAGAAAGAGCAGATTTCCCATTGAATGTCACCAAATTAGTAGTAAGTATAGACTTATATATCCATTTACAAACCAGAAGAAATAAAGTTTAGTCCACTGTTGAGAGCAGGGTCCCTAGCCTTATACATATTAATTTTATAGACAGTTAAATTGCATTTAGGTTTTACTTTTATGTTTCAGTTAATTATGTATTATTGTGTTTTAAAATTCATATGTGAATGGTTTAATGATTTTTTAAATTTACTTTATACTTTGCCTCGAACAACAGGCGAGTGTAACCACCATTTAGTCAGGGGCTAAACTGTCTTTGCTGATGTTAACATTACATTGCCCGTGGGTACCTGTTGATGTGTGTCGACATAAATAATCAAAGACAGAGAAAATGAAATGAAAACAAAACATTAAAAATAAACTATAAGTGAAAATGTAGAGACGTGATATTATGCATGTGATCTAATGAAGATATTTTAAAATTATTCAATGAAGAGATAAAAGGAATCTATATATATTTCCATTTCTTAATCTTTAACATTTCATTACACTGTACATTAATGATAATAGCTAGAGTTAGTGACGTTGCATATCACTCATATAATGTATGATATTGCAGAGAAAATGGCAAATATAAACATTTACCTTAAAAACACTTTTGATATTCATTTAGGAGATTCTATGAAAGTGAAATGTAACAATTGTAAGATCAAAATAGTATTTTTATACTTAACATGAAAATATCTTGCAGGTGAACTATCCATAGACCAAGCAAAAATAACTACATTAAATAACGAATTTTTGGTAGAAGTAGTAAAAAAAACAAATTTAAACACTATATTTTTCTCAAACTACATACTGTTATGAAAGTTCTTGTCAAGTTTTAAGCAACTTAATCCACTGGCTTTATTATTGGAAAAAAACTTAACAAGAGTTACATCACATGCTTAAGTCTAAAGCATGTTGCTGTTATCAAGTTAATCACCTAACAGCAGATTGAGTTTGTACATTACATTTTTTAATGATTAAAGACAAATGTAAATGTCCTAATGGTAGATTAGTGATGTATATTTTATTTTTATTAATGGTTAGAGAGAAGATTAAATTTTAACAGTGGATCAGTCATGCACATTACATTTTTCTAATAGTATAAGTTTGTTCTGAAAGGTCTAGAGTGTTTTCTGTGATACAGAGAAAAAAAAAATTGAAAAAACATTAAAAATCTTATTAAATTTATATATTTTGTTCAATTTATGCTGGCATCATCAATGTGAATGGCACCTTAAGAACACATGGTTTTAAAGCCAGGTCAGAGAATCCAAAATCTCAGTTTTGGCTGTCCCTAATTTTGTACTCATCACCGGGAGAAAGTAGCCAGTCAAAAATGCTCTCTGCCAGATAGGCTTTGGCCAGCTTAGAGCAAAAATAATAGGTTGCATGTCACTTATATAATGTATCCCTAACTGAAATTGTAAATGTGTTAATCAGGATCATGGATTGAAGTTTGGACCATCCAGGTCACAGCATAGTAAATTAACCACTGAACCACACCTAACTCAGATTGCTGCCTTGGTAATATTTTTTCATATGACCAGCATTCATATACTTGTTAATTGGAAGATCAAATGCTTTGTTCTAGCCTTCAAGAAATGGAATATCTCAGATGAATGCTACAATTCTATTTTTGAATGGGGTAGTTTTTTCTTGATATTCATGAAGTGTTTAGAAAATATTAAATTTTGTACCACATGTTCTACCTTGAACATATCATTTGTAGTAAGTTTCAATATCTTAAAATGTTCTTCTATGTTAAAGTAGTAATGGAGCTCAGTAGATCTAGTGAACTCACCCTACTAACTGACATTTGGTTTGTGGTTAATGTTCCAGTTTTGTCTGAACAGATGACTGAGGTGCAACCTAACGTCTCTACAGAGGGTAGTGACCTCACTATAGCATTCTTCTTCGCCATTCTTCGTGTACCTGAAGGAAGAAAAAATGTTGTTCTAATCCAAATGTGCTACATCTGTAACACTAACACCAGAAAACTAAAATATTCTGGTAATAAGACTGTTACCAGATGAAACTTTGCCAATATCAGAAAGAAAACAATATCAACACATAAGCCTGATACTACATGATCTTGGTTTGCACTAAAACAAATAAATCATCACATCTTCAAGTAATAAGCCTGTTATCACATGATCTTGGTTCGTAACAAAGTAAATAACAAAAACCTAAGAGAGAGACTAGTATAAAACATAACTATAAATTACTTAAAACAATAAAAACCAAAGTTTCAGGGTGTAAGCATATGACTGACACTTTTTATATTATAAATATCTTTAACCAGCTAACTTAGAATTACACACTTGTCTGTAAGCTGCTGCTGAAGTTAATCATAGTTAACTGATAGCCACTTACTTTGGAATTTTAAGATGATTCAATAACTATTCATACAAACAGAAGAAACAGAATGCATTAATAATGTATTATTTAAAGCATTACTTCATCCAGGCCTGTACATAGAATGTTTGAAAGATGGGGTTCTAATCTGTGAGATTAAAAGCTAACATATATTGTGCAAAGCACAACCAGCATTCAAAGCATGCTAATGCTATGGAGGTATGGGGGCATACCCCACATAGCTGTTAAATATATACAACTGTTTCAGTTTAAGTTTATTGGAAGTATTATCATTTGGATAGTTTATATAGCATGGGTGTCATATTTAGTTACTTTTAGAAGCATGAGTTTATGACAAGTTTGTTTACATAATTGTTTACGATTCAAACGTTTTGTAGGTATGTTCAATTGTTATATTGTTGCATCAGAATATCTAGTATTGCTTGGAATATTCTATTATTATTTAGATATAGATTGTGTGATTGTGAGTTTAGCCATAATAAGTGTATAGAAGTGACTTTTGAAGTGTAATTATCATAGACTGTATTGTAATAACAAAGCAGAGAAGAATAATTTGTCTTGTCAATTGTGTTCTAAGGTAACTGAGCCAGCCTGTGTGAACTTTGACAAAAAAAAAGAGACAATAATTTAAAGTTCTGGATACAACTGTGATAACCAACAGTGTAGTGAACATTTGTATATACAGTACGTTTCACTTGTTTTAATATATTATTTTAAAACAAATGGACTGTGTTACTGTTTGTTTATTGTTGAAATTTATCACCAACAAGTCACAGACACCTACTGTAAAACATCTGGCCTATAAAACCTGAAAGTAGAAATACAGCTTCAGGCTTCCAATTTCGAAGTGTCAACAGAAGGCAATGCATGTGACTATTTCAAGCCGAAAAATGCTAATGTAGACTATGTAGAAAATATTAAATGTCATAAGCAGCTGCACTATAAATAATTTTTACATCAAAAAAATATGGGTTTTGGCCAAACCCCACCCCTGCATAAATGCATGTCATCAGATTTTCCCAAAAAACACTTACCTAATGCTAGACATGTTGTAATAACAGCAGGTAGACCTTCTGGAATGGCAGCTACAGCTAAAGCAACAGCAATCTTGAAATAGTAAATGGCCCCCTGAAATTAAATAGAAAATACAAGAGTATCAGGTAACACTGGTGCCTTCAAAGAAATGATTAAACTAAAATAATTATTAACACTTTTAACACAAAAAAAAAGATAACAAACGTATATGTATATTGTTTTGCTGAAACACCAAAAATGAAAGAAAAAAACAAAAGAGGATTGTAGTGATTAACTTTTTCCATACAGGCTTGATTGAATCAACCAAGTTCATAAACATTTTGTACTCATTACAGTTTCCATACAATAACTTTTAACACAGTATGTGCATCTTCACAAAATTTGGAAGGCTTTCAGTAAACATTACAAGACAATTAGATTTTCAATTCAGCATTTTTAATAAAGATTTGTCTGTGAATATATTGAGTAGTTTTGTTTACTAGTCCAAATGCAAAATGATTTTCATGTTAATATTAAAAATACTTTTATTCATCTGAAAATTTTAAAATCTCATTTGTGTAATGAATTCAAATTCGATGACGAGGAACCCACTTTGAGACTAATAATGGCTGGAGACGGCTTGAATGGGTAATGAAGAAAAACTTTAATATAAGTTTAACATAACA